TGTGCTTGTTCAGTCTTAAACTTTTCGTGGTTGTGTTTAATGTCAAAGGCTTTGTTTTGCTCTTGGTGGCATACTGCCCGCAAGCACGGGAGGCAACACGTTTGGACCTTTAAGTGACTGCTCCAACTAGCAAGCGATTAAATTAATGGGGCTTAAAGCCACTGAAGGCTGAACAGGGTAATTCTTCCATTTCTGTACTAAGTACAGAAACAGGCAAAATAGGTTCCTGGTCTGACTTCATACTATTAATCCCGATTTGAGAGCGGTTGGATTTGCGTGGCAGTGGGTAACAAAGACCTGAAGAAAGCAGAAAATGGGTAATAAGCTGAAAAATATTGAGAATCACTAGTTTAGACTACTATGTAATCTTTTTCTTTTTCTCAGAAAATCTAAAGCACCAGCAAAAGACTCCGTAATGGCTGCTTCTCAAGGATTTGATGAGCCCCAGATTTTACCTCCAACTGAAGGTGATTCAAGTATTCGTGCACAAGAGCCAATCAGCATATTCAGTCCTCGCCTTCAAAGAGAAGAAGCTGATGAGAGCGAGAGTTTCATTCCAAGTTTTATTTCACCTATAAAGATTATTTCAACAATCTGCCGAGCACACGAGGAAACAGAGAAGGAAGTAAACATATTGATTCCTGGGACAGAAGTCATCTTTGAAGATCTTTTGCCAGAGAATGCCACAAAAAGTGAAGCGGCGCACTTGTTTTTTGTACTCCTTAGTAAGTACTATTTTAACTATTTGATAGATTTATGCCATTCATCGATGTCTATGAAACTCTTATCTTAAAGAATAGAATAAGCTTGTGATGTCTTGTTTTATGACAGGAAAAAGACGGCGACCCTAGGATATTGTTTTCACTATAGCCTTTAAACTAGTGAACCGGTGGTTTGTTAACATTCTTAGCCAAATGAGAATGCAATGTCTCGTGGTGTTTGCACTTATTCAGGTACAGGAAGTCAGCATGATTGCCATCTCACGCCTTGAACCGCCTTCTGTAAGTACTCAAACTTACAGATCGTTCGCCTCTCATCTGGTTAGTTTGCTCACGATAAAAAACTTGCAGGAAAAAAGGGTCCATAAACCTAGAGGATGTGTCGAGGCCTTATCATGTGGTGAAAGTTTCAGGAAATTTAGCACATTCATCTCAAGAAACGGCAGTAAACGTACAAGAACATGAATTTCAAAGTACTGTAATGGTAGACAGTTTTGGATAGACTCAAACTTTCAAGTAGAAAACAAAGCCATTAAGTCTACCTGCCCTCCACAGAGATGAGCAAGTTGTGGTTACGACTCCTCAGAGTGAAGGGATGTACGCGTACAATGTTTTTAGATAATTGTATAGTGTCAAATTTAGCCCCTAGATTTTTGCTGTTTTTGCTGGGAAACAAGTTATCAGCTTGTTAAGGCAGGTTCTTAATCATTAGGAAGCGCTTAAATCTCTCCAAATTTAAGTGGATAGGCTTTAGAGATATTCAGTGTTCATCTAGGGAAACATTTTGCAACTCATAGTCTGAAACAGTGTAAAAGGAGAATCTCACTTGAACAAATTATCATCCTTCCAGGGATTAAATGAGCTTTCAAACCGTTATCAACTACTCAGAACAACCTCCTTATCTTCAAATAGGCTTATTATAGCCAGATTCTATATATATATATATATATATATATATATATATATATATATATATATATATATATATATATATATATATATATATATATATATATATATATATATATACATACATATATTTATTTATTTTATTTTATCGTTCCTGATAAAATCGCGCATCCAACCGTTACCAGAAGCAATTGTTCGAGCTCTTAATAATTTCACAAAACCTTAAGATAAATAGTAACTAGTACAAACAGTGGGTGAGCGCAGACGACGTTTTGACGGAACAAATTTCACTTCACGTGATAATCACCACGTGAGCCACCAGAATTTCATCCCTTACGTTAATACCTCAGAGTTTTTTTTCCGAAATTATAACTTGTGTGATATTCCCAAGATGTTTTAAATACGTTGGATACCGAAACCTGTGAAGGTTTACTACAATAATGTAAGCAGTTCATATCTTTAGATGATGTTGAGAACACCTGTATCAATTTGTTGAGATGAAAGTGGTGAAAAAGATGGATTTAGAAAAGGGCCACAGATGTCAGTTATTAACGACTGACCTACAGATTAAAATGAGTCAAAAGTCATGATTATCACTGGTTGTAATATGGGTGAATACAGGTCGCTGTCATTGAAGTTTGTTTCATTTTACTTGAATAATGTCATGGACTCGGGTCGTAATTATGCTCTGCTGGTAAAACATTTCAAGATACTTTTCTTCTTGGCAGGCATGCACATGAAGAGGACTATAAGGCTGGAACAAAAAACTCCTTTTGGCACAATCTACGTCACTCGACTCTGAGAGACCAAGGCCCCATCAACTTCGTTACACTCCGTCTCCATTGTTGTCTTAAAACAGCTGTGACTAATGTTTGAATATTTTAACTTGACCCAGAAAGTACTTGAAGGGATTATTTACTGGTAATTAATATTCTTTGATATATAATAATTACATAATTGTTTTTAAATATTGATGGGTTACGAAATATTGTTAACAATGTCAGCTTTTAAGTCACAATAATGTATAAAGTTAATCACTGGGAGAGAAAGTTTGTTTGGGTAAATTAATTCCTGTTTGAATGCTTTTGATACTTATTTGCTTTGTGATAAAGATGGTCATTAAGCAGCAGGGTAGTGACTGAAAGGGAAAGGAGTTTTATTTAGTCAATTTAAAGGATGAATGGATTCACAAGTATTGTTATGTCCCTAAAACTGAATGACAATAGGAAATTGAAAGAGAAAAAGCTTAAGAAAGGGGTTTTATACTTATTTATTTACAAATTTATCAATACAGTACAGTGCTTAATATATAAACAGGTATCTGTATAATACAGGAGACAAACATGTCAAAAAGCTGTACAGTATTATGCATAATGGAAAGGTGAAAATGTAGCGATATGATATTTTCCATGACTTACCTAACATAATTTGTGTTGACCGTGTTGACCGTAATTTCTATTTTAATTTTAGATGGTTCAGGCCTAAACTTGAGTACATTACAGTACTGCATAATTTATGAATTCCAATGACCTATAATTTTATTTATGATATATATATATATATATATATATATTTATTTGTTTATTTTATTGTTATTATTTTATTTATTTATTTAGTTTTTATTTTATTTTAGGAAACGTCACTAAGGACTAATTTTAAAATACGAGTGAGGTGTGCTCTTACTAATGACAATATGTTTGCTGAGATATTTGATTATTTTTCGAAACTTATTATTTTATTTTATTTGCATCAGTTTTATACTGTAGTTTATGTAAGGTTACAAAGTTTTTATTTTATCCGTGCATGAATTTTATGGTACATTATGGAAATTTATTTAGATAAAGCAAAACATATGTATACAGTATTCCAATAAAGAGCTTGGCTGGTGAAGATGTTAATTTGTTTCCTTTGTAATACAATGTGTGCTTGAAGGAGGGATTTTACTTTCCTTTTTATGCATCATAGATAAAAGATATAATCCACGGCTCTAATAAGTACGTCACTTGCCTTTTTGAAGACAAGGACTTCTATTTCGTTCACTGGCTGATTCAGCCTGGTTAAGTGTAGTGTGTTAGATTCAAAGAAAATTTTTCTTACAAAGAAAAGCTGAATATTCAATTTAGCATTGGTTGGGCTAAGTGAGTAAGAAAAGGACTACTTAGATGAACTGCTGCATGTAGCATCAGTGCTTGGTGATACAGGGTAGGGAAATTGTACTGGTGGTGATCTAAAATAAAAAACTAAGTGTTGGTGAGAGGTTACTTCCCTGTGGTACTCCGTTGTATAGCTTGATGCTTGCTTGCGCCTACGTGGTTGCCAATGATGATTTTATCAAGGAAGTTGCAAAGAAAAGAAGTGAAGTTGTTGAAGAGTTCTTGGTTGGTTATTTTGTATTTGAGCCCCAAGCGCCAGACCTAGTCAAATGCTTTTGCTACGTTCCTTAATACTACGTTGCATTGATCTATTGTGCATTGCGTTGGTTATGTTTTCGTAATTTAGGGCTATGGCTGTATGGGTTCCTCAATGTCTTCTAAATCCGTGCTGCCTGGAATTGTATTTCTCTTTAATTTCGAGATGTGTTCTCAGTCGGTGGTTCATTCTTCCCTTACTATTACCTTTACATCCCTAACAATCTCCCTGCTTGTTTTCTTGACAAGCATGTTGTCAATCTGGGTTCTTGTGACTACTTGCCCTCTTCTCAAACATCCTATTGTATATTATGACGACACCCAATGCATCTTCAAACTGAAGTATTTTTTACCTTCAATATTCATTGTTCCAAAGACTTTTCCAACATGCACATCTTCATAACCTGATGAAAAATGTTCACCAACATGGTTGTTTAGGTTCAGTGTACACGATATACACGTCTGACATGCCACCGCCTACCCACGGAGAATACATACAGCCTATGCCGATGGCGTCACTCAAATCATCCGACATCTAAGCAAGGTCAAAATGAGGATGACACGAAAAACAGCCCACGCCATCGAGCAAATGAACAATTATGAAAAAAAGTGGAAAATTGAAACTAACACGGAGAAACTAAAGATCATTCTCATTGCCAAAACAAATCCACCACCAATCACAGTCAACAATGAACATTACAATACTGCAACGAAGGCAAAATACTGGCACTCACAATAACAAAAACGGGAATAGCGAAAGACATAACACAACGCAAAATGCTTGCCTAGTCAACTCACAAAACTACGAAGATTTAGCAAAATGGACACCAACTTTCAACTACACCTATTCAAAGCACTTGTCCGCCCCCACCTGGAATACCCGCCAATACCACTTCAAGCAGTACAATAAAGCTATCCGTAGAGCATCAAAGCAACTTCCACCATACACCACCAAATTGCGAGAACTTCATAAACTATACAATATCGAACCACTGAACACGTAGCCAAGCTCAGAATGTTTGGGGGAAACTGAGAACTGTACTTCAATAGGCTGTTCAACGAGCACCGCACAGGAGTACAAGCGACCCATCATTTCAAAGCAACACTGCTGAGACTGAGAGACGATAGGAAATTGTCAACCCTGTGGATCTCACTACCAACCGGGACTACTGAATGTATAATATAGTTGACACGTACACAAATAATGAAGTTCTCGGAGGTAAGTTTAGTAATACTTTAGAAAATGGTACCTGGTTAACCAGCAACTATGTGATTTGTTAATTTATAGTAGAAGACATAATTAGATACAAAGTTTAACCATTTTGGGATTAATGTCTGAGAACAGCACTACCACCAGAAGGAGTTGTTCCATTTCGTTTATATTTTTCACAAATATTCTTATTATAGTAAGAAGTGACAATTAATATTAATGAGATAACGGTATTATTGTGTTTACACACCGTTCATTCTTACCACTAATCTATTATCATATTCGAATAAGACGTCTAATTATAAGATAATTTTCATCTATTACATTACCGGCGGAAATGTATAATAACGGAGATAGCTTTTCCAAAAAAAATTATATTTTCTTCCATTAACCTCCTGCCATTATCATCTGCCTCTCAGTGTCTCTCGCGTCTCCTTCATAAATCATGAAGCGCATGCTTACCAGTACACGTCACGCTGCCAATCAAAAGCGTTTTGCTTTTGGAACCAATTAAAATGATTTTGGGTTTAATTTAGAGTATATTTGGCCCAATCAAAATCGAGTTTTATTTTGGGTCTCTCATATTTTGAAATTCAAGTTCAGTTCCGACCATGGAAGTCTGCGATGGGTGTCACTTAAAGTATATGGAGCTGATTGCGAGTTTTTGGAAACAAAACGTAGAAACTATAGCATTTTTTCGATCGCATGGTGTTCTTTCAACCTCAGTAAAGTGTACTGAGAGCAAGACTGAATGTAAATATCACAAAGACCAACATATGTGGCGTTGGGTAAGAATCCCAGAATGCAACGACGAACAAGAACCAGGCCAATAAGGTAAGAAATAGGTGATTCCATCATATGGTGAGAGTCAGTTAAGTTAGGTTAGGTATTTGTTTTTCTAGTGGTTTTTTTTGTGTATTTTTTAGTCGCTTAGCCACTTTTTTTCGGAAAACGTCAAACGAAAAACAGCTCTAAAAAAAAAAGGCTAATTTCCGCCAAAAATGAAGGTCATATTCGGTCTAAATACACTAGAAAAATATTTTTTTTACTTGTTAAAAGTGAACGGTGTGACAATGCAAATTTACCGAGATAACTACCGCCACAATATTTATTTTGATGTTTCTTTTCTTGCTATATTTTCATTGGTGAGTTCTGATATGCTATTAATTTCTTGGCCAAATGCTTTGTTTGGAAGATGATAGGGTCCCTAGGCTCAGATCTGGGTATTATTTTCGTTTCGGTCAACCGGGGAATCCACACATGGCTGACTTGTGTATTTTTTAATGGAGATGGCACCCCCTTCCCATTGTGATGAGCGCCTGGTCCCAGTGACTATTGGTCATCTAGTGGAATGCCCAGTCTCAGAGATCTTCGTTATAAGCACCTCTCCCGGTGCAGGGGGAGGGAGATGGGTCTTACCGTCTCTTTTTGATGCTGGGGGAAAGAATGGGTAACCTGGGAGGGGATGTCCATTCCTTAGTGGAGGAAGCCGACCTACACAAGCTTGGAGTTTTATTTATTAATGTTTAAATGGTTTTATGAAAGTTCTAAGTTATTTATTGTGTTTTTACCTTACATTATTTTATTTTAGTCTTTTAAGCCTTAATTTTAATTCAGCGACATGACCTAAGCTGTTGGTCGCCAGGGATGTAATTGCCACAATCAGTCAATCAATCCAGGGAATCTTAGGAATTTAACTATTGGAAGCCCCCTACCAGAAAGGGGCAGGGGGGAGTTGCCCCCTGGTTAGGTTAGACATAGTTCCTGAGTTCTTTGGCAAGGCAAGGTTAGGTTAGGTTGGATACCTAAGTGCAGGGATGACCGAAACTAAAATTTGACCCATATTAACAGCACTACTTTGTCTTGCTCAGTGATAAATCAGTAAGGCATCCAATTGACAACTATGCTCAGTGTGCATTTATGAACCGCTTGGTTAGGGCGACTGCTCACACATCCACAAAAAATATAAAATTTCAACATATTGTAAGTTCTTGGAAGTTAGGTAAGGTTGGGTAGGTTGGTGCGGTCTTCTAAAAATGCTTCTGCCGCTTGTTTTTCTTATCAACTGAGGTTAGGTTAGATTTAATTAGAAATACCCGGTAATCACTTTTTAACAGATTTGCCCAAGCTATGACAGTGTTTACTACAAAACACATAAAAATTACAGAATTTTAAAAATAATTTTATTTGAAAAATCTTTGGCGGGTATCATCAATAATTACTCAGGCGACAACTTTTTATTTTAATTTTAGCTAAATATTTTTTTTTTTTTTTAGTTTTCCTTATATACGATCATAAATCACCTGTAGTGAGCAGGACATGAAGGATGAGGGAAAATGTGGGGTAAAATATGGTGAAAAACTGGTCATGTGGCACTAAAATGGTGTCTCTATGTGCTTTGTACATACAGAAATTAATAATTTACTGTAAATACCTCTGAAAAATCTACTGAGTCACTGCGCATCATCTGCCATTTACATCACTGCACCTCTTGTGTACAGGTACTGTATTTATTTTCTACACTCACTGCACATTACTGAATTGAATTACTGCCAACACTGTTCTTCAGACAGTGCATGACCATTTTCTACTTTCCACCAAGTGTCCCTCACTGTCACACAACTAATCAAGTGAATATAAAGTTTAAGAATATTTATGAAAATTAACTGTATATTACTGTGTTTCAGAAGCTGATTTATGAATTCATGAAGTTCCACTTTGAGAAGAGCAACACACGTATAAATGCAGATGCCATCAAGTTGGTCGCCAAGGTAAGGATGTTCATGTACAGCAGTTCTTTATAATTTTCAGATATTGAAGTTGCATTTTCACAAGATCATTATATATTCTTTATATAAGCTAAATAATAATACCTTATATAATAACTGTAATCCTAAAAAGATAAAAGTTTGTGCTTGAATATATAGTACGGTATGGTATTTTAGATTACGTACTGTACTTCTATTTTCCATTTCATATTCCTATACAGTGGTCCCTCGGTTAACGAGCACAATCCGTTCCAGCATGTTGCTCGTTAACCGAAAAACTCGTTAACCAAAACCATTGTTTCAATGGATTTTGGGTAATTGGTTCCAGCTCAAAGAAAATTGCCTAAATTCAACAAAAAATGTAGAAAAGCGCACTTACTTTGAGGTGTGTATGTAGAAGGCTCCTGGATGATGATGATGATGATGGGAATTAGAATGGGGATGGAGGAGAAGGGAGAAGAGAAGGCATTGGGATGGAAGAGAAGTCACCCCATGGTGCCATTTCACCCATAAAATTTTAGTTCTCTTGGTGTAATTCAAGATTATTTTCTTTAAATCAACACTGCACTGCATTATATATTGTCAATATGTAAAATAAATTTCAAAATGACCAATAATTTGCTTGGAAACACAGAAAAAAAGCATTTAGTTAAAGAGAGTCTTAAGCAATATGTTACCTCCACTGAAAAGAGAGAGAGACTAACGACTGTTTGTGTGTTAACAGGCTGGATGGCGTGCCAGAAACTAGTTTCTTTACCTTCAATTATGTTCAATAATTGTTAAAATGACTAAAAAATATTTATATTAAACTTTTAAAATTATTGAATAGTATAAACTTCTTGATATTTACTAAAATAGTAAGGAATTTAAGCCCTAAAACCGATTACTGTATTGGCGGACTAATACTACAGGTGGTGGACCGCCAAATGCAAGCGAAAACATGTTGAGGTCGGCTTGTAAAAAACTCGTTAATCGAGGGATTGCTCGTTAACCGAGGCGCTCGTTAACCGAGGGATCACTGTACTTACTTGGTAGTATTATGGTATGGCCCTGTACGTCTGTCTAATACAATAGTGCAATTTTTCCCAGCTGAGAAGAGATGCCCCGCCCCCTCCTCAAGAGTTACAGCTGATTGGTTGTTGCAAATCTGTCCGATTTCGTCCTGAAGTAATAATGTATTTCTAAATGTGTTTATTCATAATCGTTGGGATGACCGTTTCTGATGAGAGAGATATTTAGCTAAATTATTTAAAGATACATACTTCCTATGTGCTCATGTGTGAAATAATGAATGTATGTATCTTTACATAATTTAGCTAAATATCTTTCTCGTCAGAAACGGTCATCCCAACGATTATGAATAAACACATTTAGAAATACCCTGTACATCATTACTTCAGGACGAAATCGGACAGATTTGCAACAGCCAATCAGTTGTAACTCTTGACGAGGGTGCGGGGCATCTCTTCTCAGCTGGGAAAAAACACACAGTAGTACTGTACAGTACAGAGAGGCCAACATAACCTAGGTTGTGAAACGTGAAGAACCTGACCTCACAAGCAAGTACAGGTATAGTATTGTACATTACCTCAGCCTGCTTTATCATCAGTTTTTCGTTTCCCAAAAGTTAGAGCCACAAATCCTAAGTGAATATTTCTGGTATGAGCTGGAATGAAATGACCAATTCTATATCAGTTGTTTGTTTGGGGGCTCTTGCTGGATTATTGTACAGTAGTTCCTTGTCAGCTGGACCACACATGTTCTGCTCTATTTAGTTAAGAATGAAGTTGATAGATAAGCATATAAAACAGACTTCAGTTTGGTGATTATTTTGTGTTGGTTCAGATAATGGAGCTGGTAGCCAAGGAAGGTGCAACACGAGCAGCATACCAGGCCAAGCAGGAGGGAGCCGACACTGTCACAGTTGAGCACTTGGAGAAAGTTCTTGCTCAGTTGGTAGGTTGAATATCCTTGTTTTAAGTAATTCAGCACACTCTAGTCATACCATACCAGAACATCTTGCTCAATCTTAAAGTTTATGATCAATTATTGATTAATGTTAGTTAGCAACATTTATACTAAAAACTGCACTTCAAAAATGTGTGGTATTGTATTGGTATTATATGCCCTGCATGAGATGAAAAAAATTGTCATTTTTTATTTACTCAAATTTCTTTCTGGAAATTAAAGTTGTATTATTTCAAATTACTGGTTACTTACAGATTTAGAATTAAAAAATCAGAAAATATTTTTTTTCCAGAGGGAAAATATATTGATTGTAGTGTACATAACTAATACTGGTAGTAAACCCTATTAACTTTCATCAATTTATGTTTTCATCTCTTTCTTAATTCTTAGTTAATGTAATGCAAGAGACATAGTAATACAGTATGTGAAGGATTATGACATGCAGAACTGATGCTGCAGTTGTAAAGTGTGAAATGGAAGCAAGATGCAGGGTTCTATTCCATAATGATTGGTTTATGTTTATGATCATTAACTCTTTCATTGCGATGTCATTAATTGATCAGAATATCCTGTGTGCGAACATTTTCAAAAATAAATACATATTACAGGTATACAAGTACAGTACGGTATATTGAAAAAAAAATTATTTTTTAATTTTTTTTTGCCGAGTTCAACGTCATGATTGATTTAGCAAACTAGTTCGCTAAATCGAGTGAAAATAATGGAAAGTTCGGTTCAGCAGAAATTTCAATTTAACGGAAAGGGGTGGCTCGAATTAGTTCGTTAAATCGAGAAAGTACTGTACTGTACAGTAATACCCCGCTTTACGCAGGTTTTTTTTACGAGTTTCTACATTTACCCGGTACCCTGCCAGAACCGGAATGTTCACTTTACGCGGTGCATCTACTCATATACGCGGGAAGCGGCACGGGCAGGGTGCACACAAGGTTGCCCAGTAGGGGGCAGGGAAAAAACACTTTTATTTGAGTTGCAGGCTGCACTTTTCAGGCATCGTTTGTATGGCTGTAACAAACACCTGTGCAAAATTTCATGCCATTTCATGCATACTTACCCTGCCGCATCGCGAACGACTTTTTGTCAACTTTTAGTGTATACCAAAAATTAGGTGTCATTTAATGTTTTCCAGGATAATGATAAATTTTACATGGGTGACATCGATTTAATTCACATGTTATTTTACAGGTACACCGTATAGAAAATCATTACAAGTTCATATTGAAATTCTTTTTTGTGCGGAACCTTGGCATCATTTTCCTAGACAATAATCTTTGCCTAATATATCCATCTCTCGATTCGTATCCCGTCACTTCAGTGCAAGCTTCAGTCATCACTTTTATGCCTCTCTCGACCGCCTGAGTGCTGTTTGGCCACTTGGGCACCACTAATGGTGTCTCAAGAATGTCATTAACCTGTAGATTTGACAGAGAAGCAATGTAAGGAGGCTCAGTCTTGAGTTCATTCCTCCAGTTAATCATGGAATGATAGTTTTTTGCTTGCCACTTTAGTTTCGGAGTCACCACCTTTCTCATGTTGACTACAGGAGGCACATCCTCATTCCCATCTCCATCTTTACCCTCCTCATCAGTATAGTTTAACAAATTCTCGTCAACAGCAGCATCAGAATCTTCCTCCTCCTCTTCAGATCTGCCAGTGCATTCTTCCTTTTGCTGATTCTCCTCTCTAATTTTTCTTATCATTGAGACAGCTTTTTCTCTAACAGTCATGTCCTCATCTGCACACATACCAAGAAGAAGTTGATCTGTGTGGGCGAAGTATGCATTTCTCTGGACAGCCTTCTTCACTATCGTCTCCTCCTCACTATTCAGGTGTTTCATATATAGCAGGGACTGGAATACGTTCCTTGAGCCGTGTGTTACGTAAGGGTGTATCTTGATGTAAAACCACATTGGAGCACTGAACTTTATTATTGTAATGACAATTCTTTTCAACTCATGGCTGGGTCTTGATGTTGCTACATACAGCCTGAGGATTCTACTCCATAAGGTGTTCCACCTTGACACACAGGGAGGACCTGGCTCAATAGCAGCCAAGTCATCTTCAACAACACCTGTGATAACTCCTTTACAAATCCTATACAGGTATTTCTGATCCCAGGACAGATCTTTCTCCACTTCATCATTAAACACAGGGAAATCAGGGAAACTGACTGGCTGGAAGGCGACAACTGGAAGCTCAGACAAAGACTCCTTGATCTGCTTTCCAATGGGACCACGCCAATGCTCAGGACCACTTGGTTTACCATCATAGTGATAAAAAACTGCGCGGAAAGGCAGCTCATTTCCGTGAAGCTGACATATGAAATAATGGAGCGGGTGACCAAGTAACATTTCAAGATGATGAATGACTCCATTTTCTGATCCTACATTTACATTGGTTCCATCACAACCAACACACACAATGGGCTGCTGGGTTAGATTTTTCTCCACCAGAAACTCGTGAATAGTTTTGGCAATCTGCTTTCCGTGTCCAGTCTTGGGAGTCACATGTGTGAGATATTCATTGCCAGGCTCAACCATGATGACATAATGATCTTTCACCATCATCCTCGAACTCCATTTCTCGGTCTTCTCATTCTTTATCATCACACGAGTGGCGGTCTTCTTACCATCAAAATAGAGTGATGTCAAATTATCTAAACTAGCCATCTCAATTTCTTGCCTCTTAAATCGGTATTTTTGTCTCGCATCCCGCAGCTTATGTGGTCCAATAACCTGACTCTTGTCATCCTTTGTGATAATGCCATAGTCAGTTAAGGTGGCAGTAGCAATGGCAGCTCCAGCATAATCACTAATCAAGTATCGGTCACAAGCGGCAGCTTACCCAGTACAGTAACACAACATTGAGAAATGAAATGAGAAAAGGCTGATAATCAATATAGACATAGCACCATACTCATCTGCAACAAGACAACTTAAATGAAATAAGAGATATGAAAAAAAAGTTGATAAACACTGAACAGAACATTGCACCGCCACAGCGGCTGTTTGGCTAGTACTGTAGGTAAATTTTAAAATTTCAGTAGAAAATGCGGCAGACTAAACCTCGACATATCAGCTTCAAATTTGGCATGGAGTCTTAGATATGTATAAGGAACAATGCCTGAAGAGTGCAGCTTTGAGCAAAATTTCACTGCCCCCTATTGCCCAGTCATCAAAACATTACCGAGTTCTTCACCCGCCACCCACCACAGCCGGCCCAGGTCAGTGATAGTGATGATATGGACTTATATGGACTTTGAGGGGTTTGACAAAGAGGCCCTGCAAGCCTCTGTGGTGGATACCCGGTAGTGATACAATTGATACAGGTGAGGGCCAATAATCTGCCCTCTGCCTCGGAACCAACCCCCCATCCCCGTGTGCCCAGCCATCTTTTCTACTCATGTAAGTGTTAGAAAATCTAATATTATTGATATTTCTCTTAATTATTAATTGTGTGTGCATACCATCATAAAATTAAGAAGTTATTTTTACTACAACGTAGGTATTGTTTCTGAAAAAGTGGAGTTTGGGGGTCGGCCCAGTCTCTATTTCAATTAATCCCATATGTTCTGTTGTTCACTTTTTGCGTTTCCCGCTTTACACGAGCCTCCGTGGGTTCAATTGACCGCTTAAAGCGGGGTATTACTGTATATGCACTGTATACTATGTAGTACATACAACTCTACACACGAGCCTAAAGTAGCCATACAGGGGGTCCCCGTGTTTGAACAAGTTCCGTTTCTGAGGACGTTCTTAAGTCGGAAATGTACGTGAGTCGTAACACATACCTTATGGGACCTCGTTCGTATTGGCAGGTGTTCGTAACTCGGGGACCACCTGCACACTGCTCACTTTGCTATGTACAGTACTTTTACACTTACTGAATGTACAGTACAGCATGCTGTACAGTGTATTCACTTTTTATGTCTTTAACACTGTAGCTGATTGTGTCCAGGTATAATAATTTACAGTACAGTAATCCTTCGGGTTACAGAAGGGATGTGTCCTTGAAAAGTTGACAGTAACTTGAACCCCATTTTCTCATTGACTTCCATTATATAATTGGAGATGGATAGATGACTCGCCAGTCTGACTGCCCAGATGTAAGTAGCTAACTGTACCAGTAAATGTGAGGATTAAATAAAAATAATATTGTACAAAAAACTTTCATACAAAGGTACTCCTTGACATGTTGGTTAAGGATAGGGACTCAAAAATTTCAGCTCAAAATAATTACTGTTAATTAATGACATTTGAAATAATTACAACACATTTAGAATACTGTATAAATATTTATTTTCAGTTGCTGGATTTATGAGGTGAAAACTACCAATAAAATTATTGTGCCAAGAGGATATGCATCATGGAATTTGGAAATAATGGCTTCAGGGTCAGTAAAGACAACCTGAAAATTCTTATTGATGTAAGGTACAGTATTATATTGCCATTTAGTTTCTAAAAGGTGCTAAAAATGCAAATACCTGTAGTAGTACAGTACGCCCGGAAAATTCGCGGATTTTAATTTCTCGGTCCTCTATTATTTGCGGATGACACCCTGGATGTACCGTACCCAAGAATCTCTAGGGTAGTTTTAAAGTTGCTGGCATTTTCGCAGCCGGGGCAGGGAGCCATTCGTTCTAGAGACAGTAATTTCCTTTACCTGTATTGTATACTGTATATGTATAGACACACATATGCAAAACATATGCAAATAAATAATAATGGGAAAATCCTCGCACAAATAATCAGAAAAAATTTATCAAAAATGTTGAGTCTACCCTCATGTCCACTCCATGCTTTGTTATTAACAAAGCATTTATCAATAATGTTGAGTCTACCTTCATGTCCACTCCGTGCTTTGTTATTAACAAAGCACGGAGTGGACTTGAGGGTAGACTCAACATTTTTAATAAATTTTTTCTGATTATTTGTGAGAGGGTTTTCCCATATACAATACAGGTAAAAGAATAATTTTTCTAGGGGCAAACATATAAAGGGAATATACATTTCTTTGTACAAAAGAGAAAATGTAAACCAACCCCCCGGTCAGCAAATGTTATTCGCGGATTTGGCGATTCGCGACCATTTTGAGAACCTAACCCCTGTGAATTTGAAGGGCTTGCTGTACAAGGAAATTTAGTAATGAAAATCTGTTTAGTAATGAAAAATAGGTTTTGAGAATGATATAAGGACCTAGATATCGTAGACAAAATATTTAATAACTTCTCTGCTGCACTGAATGATCATACATCAGAGGGGAAGGAGGAGGAGGAAAGACCAGAGGGGATGCCTTGGCAGCCCTGTACAACTTAACTCCCAGTAATTCTGTATCACCATATTCATGATATGCCAGCTATGTGATTATTATTACTGTATTGTGTTAATTTTTTATGAATTTAAAGAAGTAAAATTAAACACTTGGTTTGGTAATGATAAGGATGGATATGGCACTGTCTACAAAATCAGAGTTGGAAACCCTGTCTCATCCTCCCGCTGCCCTCCCTCAATCGTTTGCCTTGTGTGCATCAGCCAGCCAGATGTCACTCTACCCCCATCAGTCACACTGTCTGCCTTACTGTTTTTATAGTGATATAAAAAACACTCAGATAATAAATAAACACAAGAAAAAGCATGACATCTAACTTAAATACTGTAATTTACTCATCAGTTGGGGTTGATAGAGGAAATTAATTTGCTCTGATTGATAATGGTGACTCAGAATACTTTGATTCTGATTCAGCGCTAAAATACTTTGATTCTGATTCAGAGCTAAATACAAATGCACCCAGACAAAATTCAATCTGTTAAATTGTTATCTATCAAATTGGGGTTACAAGAATGTATGTCCGATGTATTGCAAAGTACAGTATACTAAACACACGTATCTATGTTACATATTTTCTTTGCATAATTGATTAATGTGTAGTGATTCAACTGTCTTTATTGTAATGTTTAGAGTCATGGTTAACGGTTATATAACAAAGAAAATAGCCAAGAAAACATATAAGAATTAAATTACAATAGATTGCATCTTTCCCTTCAGATTATACCCAGACTCACCCAACACAACTCATCAGTTGAAAGAGTGCAGTGCACGCCTGAGCTCCTGAACACAGCATTATAGTAAGGTTGTCACACAGTACTGTACATATACAGTACTCTAATTTAAATTAATAAAGTCTTCACTATTAACTAGTTTTTCTGTTCACATACAGTATATCGTATGATTATGTTTGTTTAGGCTTATTACAACACTCTATCTCTTTTGGTAGTTAATAAATAATTTTCTGCTAATTTTGACCAAAGAGCAACCCCCAGGAACACATCACTCAATTGTAGCATTGCCAGTGGGAAAATACAAGTACACTCCTATTTATGTGTATCAGTTGGGAGAGATTACAATGCAGAATCAGGGGAAGAATAAGTGTTCTTGGGGCCAAAGGCTAGTTCTATTTAGGGGCCCTTTTGAATACAATTTTATTGCATTTTTATGAACACTATACACAGGCATGGTTATCATAACACTCATATATGGAATATGGTATAGAATAAAAACAACAAAATAACTTTTACCACTTTAGCTTTCATTTGCTAAGCCTGAATAAAACCAATTTGACCATAAAATGAAACAAAAATTACAGAGATTCTAATTTTTAACCAAGGAACGTCACCTTTCGAGCTTACTGGTTTGCAGAATCTTGAATTATATTATCAAAACTCAGTTGCGCAAAATGTCAGTTATATGTACAGTACATCAATGAAAGCATATTTAGGATCTCTTGCTTTGTTTTTGCTCGTGCCTCATGTTTGATCAGTTTCAGTTTTGAAAAGCTGCATTCACTAGTACAGTTTGAGACCATGAGACACAAATACAGTGCATTCAATAAGCTATTTCAACATTAACGAAGACCTCTCTCAATATGTGTTGTAAGAGCATCTGGTATGTGATCAGTTCACGGTTGCAGTTTTGATTTTCAGTCCTATTTCTTCATTATTTAAAACTTTTAAACGAGCTATATCGCTTTGCACCATAAATTACGCATTTGATAATAATAATAATAATGTAATTTTTTTTTACCTATTTAACCTCACTGTTTAGCACAACTGAACTACGTATGTGGTTTTCTGCTTCTATACCGGACAGCTGCGAACTCAACTATTTTTGCTCACATCAAGTTTGTATAACAATAAATATGTGGTGCCCACTTCCTGATTGTGTTGAGTGTTAAGCAAAACTTTGCTGCTTCTACAAGATGTAGATTCAAACATATCAATAATACATTTGTTCATAAATGCCCTCTATTGCAAAGGAACACCTTACTTTGAACATGAATTCAAGCCCTCTCATCCTATTGTAACTTTAATATTTTCATCTGGCTAGTGCTAGACGATTATGTGCAGCTGAGGAAACCTTGTCTGTATTGTCAGTGTGTTATTCTTCAATGTACTGTAATCTCTCCCATCTGATATACACTTTACCTCCTAACCCCCAATACACTAACTCTACCCACCCCCCTCCCCACACACACACACACACACAGACACAGAAGGACACCCCTCCGCTCTCCCCCCTGCTCACTAGCTAATGCTTCAAATTCTCATTTTAGAAATTAGGGTTCACACCTCAGGGAAAGAGAGCATTGTCGCCACTAAGTGGTAAACACAGGAGTGGAGCAAACTGTACCTAAGATGTAAATAGGGGACTTACTCTTTATGTAGGGTGAGCAGAGTGTATCCTGAATTGAGCTGCTCAGTCACACAGACAGGACAAGATTGCATTGCTGCCAAAATTCCAATGTATAAACAACCATCTTATCAGGGCTGCCCATGTACACCCATCAAAAAAAAGGTGTTATGACCCTAAAACCCCATCCACACGATCGAGCAGTGCCCGGCGGGCTTTGCCCATTTACCGGGCAAAGCCTGTGTGTTGTTGTACACACGGGGGTGATTGGCGGTAGTCATAGTCGGGCGCCGGTAGCTAGTAGGTGGTCGGCAGTGGCGGGTGCGGTACGATCACCATGGTGTGTCGCAGGAATAATCGCCAGACAGTTAAAGCGAATAGCGTTGTGTACTATAATAACTGCTGCTATGTGCAAAGAGAAGAACCAAATGCAGAAAAGGGAATGGTGCAAAGAGTGGTTAGGTCGAAGAAAAGTATTAGGAAGTCATGCCACGATTTTACGTGAACTGCAAGATGGACATGAGAAAGACTTCACCAATTACATGAGAATGGACCCCAACACCTTTTACAAACTCCTCATGAAAGTGGAACCATATATTATTAAACAGGATACCAATATGAGAGGGAGTATATCTGCAGAGGCTCGTCTAGAGGCAACGCTCATATATCTTTCAACTGGGTGCACCTACACGTCACTTCAGTATAGAACGAGGGTATTAAAACAAAGTTTGTCTCGCATAATATCTGCAACTTGTCAAGCCATGTATGAAATACTCAAGGAAGATTACTTGCAGGTGAGATTTGTAATACATAGAAATTCATTGAATAATGTTAGAATTATGATATGCATAGACAGGAAGCTATGGGACTAGAGTGAGGAGAGCGGCAGGAACGAAGAACACACACGAATGTCCTCATTACATAATACATAAACAGTCTCCTGTTTATTGTCACGCCAATAATGTACATTGCATAAGCTTATTTGGTTATACACTGGACATCTGGACCGAGCGGCGAACATATACGTATCACATTTGCAGTACTTAACTCAGGTTTTACAAAGTACTAGCTTACGTTCTGTCAGTATCTCTCTTCACACCTCACCGACTTGAGGACCCCGATCCCCGAGGTCAGCGGTGGCGTAGTGATCAGCTGTTTTTGACAGTCATGTGAGGTTTCAATAATAACACGTGTCTTGTATTGCAGGCTTGTGTAATATTGAATGTTAATGAAAATATTATAGGAATGTCGGTTTTCCGGTTTTATCGTTTGTCTGGCAGCGTCGTCGCTCCATATCCGGCAGCAAACCACCAGGCAGGCGGACCGTGATTTCGCTCAACGACGGGCACGGGCAATCCGCTGGTTTGCCCGCCAATTTTGCTCGATACGGGCATTTAGCGCGTGCCCGCCGGGCACTGCTTGATCATGTGGACGGGCCTTAAGGGTTTGATGGTACAGTTGTACCCCGCTTAACGCGGTCAATTGAACCCACAGGGTACCGCGTTAAGTGAAAATCGCGTTAAGTGAACAACAGAACATATGGGATTAATTCCAATAGAGACTGGCCCGACCCCCAAACTCCACTTTTTGACGACACACAACTATGTTGTAGTAAAAATATTATCTTAACTTTATGATGGTATGCACACAATTAATAATTAAGAGAAATATCAATAATATTAGGTTTTTTAACACTTACATCAGTAGAAAAGATGGCTGGGCACACGGGGATGGGGGGTTGGTTCCGAGGCAGAGGGCAGATTATTGGCCCTCACCTGTATCACTTGTATCAATTGAATCACTATCCACCACAGAGGCTTGCAGGGCCTCTTTGTCAAACCCCTCAAAGTCCATATAAGTCCATATCCTCACTATAATTATCACTATCACTGACTTGGGCCGGCTGTGGTGGGTGGCGGGTGAAGAACTCGGTAATGTTTTGATGACTGGGCGACCTTGTGCGCATCGTGCCCGCGCCGCTTCCCGCGTGTATGAGTAGATGAACCGCGTTAAGTGAAAGTTCGGTTCCGGCGAGGCACCGCGTATATGAGAAATCACGTTAAGTGAAACCGCGTTAAGCGGGGTACAACTGTACTCATAATGAGCAAGTGCATATAGGCACAGATGTAACTACAGGTAACCCCTGAGATACGGTGGGGTCACTTTCCTGAAAACCCATCGCTAGGTGAAATATTGGAGATAGGGAGCATTATAACATGGGGTTCAATATGATACATTCCCAGCCAGTCCCCAAACACACATGTATCACCGACAAAAAATTTCCTTCAATACCACTATCGGTACAAAACATGTAAACAACACTCACCACATCATATTGGATAAGTCTGGTCATCACCACATTTCCCCTTCAAGGCTAACAACTTCACAGTCGCAAAAACAGCAAAAGCACTTGTCACAACAACAGAGTGAACAATGATAAAAACAATGACAGCTGATGACACTGCTCATATTTTCAAAACAACAGAGTTGATGCACATTACAGTCACAAAAACACAAAATATCCTTCACAGTCACCATAACACAGTTCAATCTAAATGTTAGTGCTGTCCTCTCACTATTTAAGAAAAAAACACGGATGATAAGAATTATGTATGATGCTGGCTGATAATATGAATGATGATTTCATGTCATTTATCACCACACACTGCATGTAGTCGTGAAGAAAGTCTCCAATCCATGCTTGGACACTCCCCAAGATTCTGTACCTTTCCAGTTTTATTTTCAGCCTTTCATGTGGTACCCTGTCAAAAGCTTGGCAAAGTCCAGATATATATCATCAATATTGCCACCTCACTACTAGGATCTGATTCCAAACTTCCAGCACCTTAAGAAATTGCATTAAGCTTGAGCATCTTGGCATAAAACCATGTTGGCATTCCTTTACAAGGTTGTTTTGTAGTAGATGTTCCATCATGTCATCTCTTCTAATGCTTTCTAATACCTTACACATTATGCTGGTCAAACTCACTGGCCTATAATTATTCATAGAGTGGTGATCTTCCTGTTTGAATACAGGATTCACATAAAGCCAGTTTCTGGGGACTTTTTGCTCATTCATGTTTCTGCAGAACAGGATTTTTAAGGGCACACCAAAGCTCAATGCAGAACTCTCTTAGCACGCTGGGTTGCACTCTGTTAGGGCTTTTATGAACATTTAGCTTTGACAATTTGTTTCTTATACGCCCTTCTGAGAACATAATGTGCGTCCGCACTATGTCAAACCATCTTTCTTCAAACGCAGGGAGATTGTTTGCATTTTCTCTTGTGAACACTAAGTAGAAGGATTTGTTTAATGTTTCTTCTTTTATTCTGACCTGAGTCTGTGTAACTACCATATTCAAGTCCCAGATCTGATATGCCCACACATGTCTTTAATTTCGATTTTGAGTAATGGTAAAAAACCTTGGGTTTGTCTTGACCTCACTTCAATCTGCCTCAAGAACTTTTTTTCATCCCTTCTGCTCACTGACTTTGCTTGGTTCGTGGA